ACTGTTGTGGCCTCTCCCGTTGCGGAGCACAGGCTCCAGATGCACAGGCTCAGCGGCCATGGCTCATGGGCCCAGCCGCTCCGCGGCATGTGGGATCTTCCCGGACCGGGGCACGAACCCGTGTCCCCTGCATCGGCAGGTGGACTCTCAACCACTGCGCCACCAGGGAAGCCCAAGTGTTTGCAGTTTCTTAAAAAGTTAAAATACCCTAACATATCTGGCCATTCCACTTTTAGGTTTACCCAAGAGAAAAGGAAATATATGTCCATATAAACTTTGTAGATAAATGTTCATAGCAGCTTTATTTCTAGTAGCCAAAAGCTGACATAACCCAACATCCATCCATAAGTGAATGGATAAACAAACTGGTATATCCATATGATGGAATACTACGTGGAAATAAAAAGGAATAAGTACACACAATAGCATGGATGAATCTGAAATTATGCCAAATGAAAGAAATCAGATCCTAACCCCAACATACTCTGATTCCACTTATATAAAACTCTAGAAATATAAACTAATCTATAGTGACAGAAAGCAGACCAGTGGTTGCTGGGGTAGGGGGTGGTAGATGGAAGAGAGGGTTTACAAGGGACATGAGCATTCTTTTGTGGGTGATGGATGTGTTCACTATCCTGATTATGGTAATGGTTTCACGGGTATTTACATATGTCACATCTCATCAAATTATACCCACTAAATATGTACAGTTTATTGTAAGTCAATTGTACCACAGTAAATCTGCTAAAAACAAAACAAACAAAACAACAGAATGAAGGCCTTTAGGCTATGCTTCAGAAAAGACTATAAAATTTCCAAATAAAGACGGACTTAAAAATCAGTCCTCTAACAATTTAAACTACAAAATATTAAGCATCTGATCTGCAAACAGATGATTCAAATTTTTTTCAGTTTACTGACATATTAGCATAGTTTGAAACAAAAGTATGTCAATAACAAATTAGAGATTTTTTTTTTTGCTTTTAAGCTTTTTCTTACTTTTGTCCAGTGATGATGGACATCCATTGTTCCCAGCATCACATGGCCCACTGCACTCATCCCGGACCGGTCTGTAAATATTATTGTACATCCTGATGATAAAGCACAAACCTTTGGTCACTGTCCAGAGAGGCTTCATTCTTTCAGCACTGTGCAATTAATTACGTAAATTTCATGTATCAACTCAGGATTAAATTCGGTAGAAGCTTAAAGCCTAATTTTATGTCACTGTATAAGTCAAAGGAACAGATTTTAAAATTCAGCTGATATAAAGTCACATCTATCAATACAAAGACTTTTAACACTTAGCTTTCCTCTAGAATTTACAGATGTGTATAGCCGTTAAGGGATATGGATTTCGGAAGTGAATGGAAATTGTTTACCTTTTGCATTTTTAAGGCTTTCCAAGTTCTGCTGGGCTAAGCGGCCTAAACTGTGCAGCTGACTGCAGCGGTGGGCGATGCCCCAGCTCCTCTGCCACCTGGTCCAACAGAGCACACGGCCCATTAACACCCGTGTCCCCCCAGAGGGAGGCACACACTCGCCCCCACTGCTTGACTCCCGTGAAAGCCGAGGAGTTGCTTTCTCAAGGAGACACACAACATGTTTCCAAACTAACTCATTTTTCAAGAAGCAGCCAAATGGGAAATGAATCGTTTACCAGAGGGTAAAAATCTTAGCACTATATTCAGCTATCCAAAGACTTAAAACAAGCAAATACACTGTGTTGTTTCTCTTAAAATAAGAGGATGAAATGGGGAAAACTTTGACAGAGATCTTTTTCTTCTTTATGTTGTTTAATGACAATGTTGTCTTAGATTTAAGTTCCAACTAGGAATTCCAGTTTGGTTTATCAGAATTTTTTGGATCATATTCTAGAGAAAATGATGTTTACGACATCGTGTAATCTGCTCATTTTATAGATGAACATTATTACATCTCAGTGACAAAATGACATGATGTCACAGAGGCACTTCTGTGTATGTGTAAAGAGCACCGGTATTAAGTGGTATCAGAAAACCAACCTTCGAATTCTAATTCTGTGATTTACTAGCTCTGTGACCTTCAACAAACTGCCTCTAGTCTTCCTAAGGTTTCTCTTCATGCTTGCCCAGTGGGGACACTTCTTACAGCACAGGTAGTGTAAATCATAGGGGATGAACATGTGAAGGAGTAAGGCGCTCAACAGGCTTTAAGAAAACTTAGGTTCCTTCTTCATGCTAACACCAATTCTGATGAATGTCATTTCTGATAAAGTGAAATCGGCTTTCAAAATTATTCCTTTAACACACAATGTCATCAGTCACAATGCTTCCTTTCGTTGGAGACTTGGTTAATTTCCCAGTAAGCCGAGACACTTACGTCCATGGTCCTTAAATGTTTTGGTCTCGGGACCCCTTTGCACTCCTAAAAACTGAGAACCTCGAAGAGCTTTTGTTTATATGGGTTATAGCTATTGATATTTACCATAGCTGAGAAATTTCTCCACTATATTGTAAAATAATGTTTATTTCTCTTTATGTTTAAGAAATCCTTTCATCTTCCTGATCCATTCTGCCTTCTCACATCTCTTAAATTTATTTAGAAAAAGTTATTTTCATGCATATTAATTTGTTTTTTTATATACCTTTAAGAAGGATCTTATTATTTTGTGTTTAGTTAGTGAAGTCTATGTTACTAGATTATGGAATTGGAAGGGCCCCCTCTAATCACAGCTTGGATGTGATGAAAAGGCAGCAGTTATCAGCACAAACCCAAACATCCCACACAGTCCAGGTGTAAACACTTTCCTCTGAAATTTGAATTCTCTTGGACAACTATGATTTGAATACATAAGAATAGAACATATAAGTACTATCTGTATTCTGCAAGCCCAGGAAAAAGGTGCTGTTATGATATCCAAATGGTCATTTGGTTCAATATAAGTAAAAAGTCCTGATAATGATGGCTGAAAACAACAAAACAGGCTACAGCAAAGAGTAACAGAAGTTTAAGCTCCAGACCAGATGACAATATCTCAGGGTTCTTATAATGCAGAGTCCCATGACTGAATCACACCACCCCCTCCTTAGGTTTGTAACAGCTGTTAAATCTATTTTTATAATAGATAAAGATTCAGCATGTATCTTTATACAACTGTGATTTCTAAGTTTATGAAAACATTTAAAAAGTCATGTTATAGTGACTACAGGTGATAATACTGTATTGCATTTTGAAAGTTGCTTAAAGAGTAGATCTTAAAAGTTCTCATCACAAGAAAAAAATTGTTTTGTAACTATGTATGGTGACAGATGTCAACTAGACTTATTGTGGTGGTCACTTTGCAATGTATACAAATAATGAATTATCATGTAAAACACTTGGAACTAATATAATGTTATATGTCAATTATACCTCAATTAAAAAAAAAAGTCATGCTATATAACACAGAATAAAAGAATACAACATTTATTTTTTATCTCCCTTCCTCTTTTTAAACTTAAGTACCAGTCTTACATGATTGGGAAATAATTATTTTTTATACATTATGGGCATAGGAAAAGTATATTTTTCACAAGCCCATTATGTTAAAAAAAACTATTATGCTAAAAATATCAGTATCTAAACTTTACTTCACTATTTTAAGCAAGAAATTCATATTGATTTTCTTACATAAACATTTGATTACTTTCATAAAAAGATAACTGAATATTTAGTGAACACAATAATTAAAGATGCAAATATTTAACTGTTAGAAACCTTTACCAAAAGGTAATACATGTTTATTTTAATCTCTAAATTAGGTTTTCTCTTCTTCATTACCTGATATCCGAGAGCTGCAATTGATGGGACAGTTCATCTTTTAAACGATCTAGTTCTTTTCTAAGTGGCAAACTATTCTTCAGCTTTTTAACAGCACTTTTCCCATTATTATCTAACCAGGATCTAGAAAGAAAACAGAGATATACACTTTGCAATACTAACTATAATGCAAACATTTCTACTACTGAACGACGTGTTCATTGACTTAAAGCAGCCCCAGTGTTAAACCGAGTTTGCCATCAAACGTTTGCCAAATTATAAGTACTGCTGCAGGAGTAGGCAGGGCAGAATGGCAAGGTGACTCGGGGATCAGAGGAACATTCTGGGTCCAAGATGTAGTGGTGGAGTGGGCCCTGGGTACAGCCGTGCAAGAGAAAACTCCAGGGGGTTAGGTAAAAAATGGTCTAAAGCACCCCATCCCCAGGCCACCTGACACCCCCTGTGGGACACCTGTCAGTGACTGATGGTCAGGTGTTAGGATAACTCTGCAGAAGGGCTCATATGTCCATCTCAGAAGTGCTTGCCAAATAAACCTCTTTAAGGTTCCTTACTTATTAAGTCACTTTAAGGGTTTGAGATGTTGTGATCTAAGACATTTAAAAAATAATCAAGTTCAGGGAATTCCCTGGTGGTCCATTGGTTAGGACTCCCGCTTCCACTGCCAGGGACACTGGGTCCTATCCCTGGTCGGGGAACAACCATCCGGCACACTGCACAGCGTGGCCGCAAAATAATAGTAATCAAATTGAAACTTTCAGAACCAATCAAATCATTATGCGTGCATCAAATATTTATCCTGAAAGCTGAACAGTGTGTTGTGTTGGGAATCTAAGGAAGATACATCTAATAAGGAACAGAGAGAGAAGCAACTGGAAGAGAATATATGAGCTTCTAGGAGAACAGAGGAAGAATTAACTAATTCTAATTCTGCCTGGAAGGTTCTAACCTGAGAGATGGACCAGATTTTTCCAGGCAGATTAGTGAAAGGGAAGGGCATGCCAACCACGCCAGTGCACAGGGAAGTATAAGATGAACTAACGTGCCCAGATCACACGATGCCTAGAGGGAGGGTGGTGTGAGATGAGACTGGAGAGGCACATATGTGTGTGTGTGTGAGATTATAAAAGGTCTTGCACATTGGGGTAAGGAATTGGGATCTTTTCCTCTAACTAAAGATGTTCCACTTTTTTTTTTTTTGGCCATGCGGAGGAGCTTGCAGGGATCTTAGTTCTGGAACAGGGATTGAACCTGTGGCCCCTGCAGTGGAAGCTCGGAGCCCTAACCACTGGACCACCAGGGAATTCCCTATATTCCACATTTTTTTGACTCACTAAATGTGTGCAGTCATTAATAATTCTTCCTACTCCCCCTTTAAGAATACTGGTAGTGATTTTATTTCTGCTTTCTGTGTGAGAAATAAGAAAATAATATCTTACTTTATATCACGATTATTAGCTATTACAATTTTTCAACCTTTTCGTCATTTATTAAGTCATACGTGTTAATCAATTTACTTTAAATTATGTAATAGAAAGGATGATTTTTTGACAAATGAATTACCAAATGGCATACTATGTTGGGTTTGGGGACCAAATGTCTTAACCTGTAGAATGAAATATAATCTTACGATTATATATTCATGACCTGATTGTTGGAATTCTTACATTTAGTGTATAAAACTTAACTGATCTAGTTTAACAATTTTTGTGTTTTGTGTCTAAACACGGAGATAAAAATGAAGGTTCTACACATGGCATTTTCTTTCTATCTATCTATCTATGTAGATATTAGATCTATCTATAGATATAAAGACAAAGATACATGTATCCTAGCTCTGGCCACTGAGAAGTTCAGTAGCAATTGAGACATGCACCGCCCAGATCTTGGTTTCTAAAAATCATTCCCTCCTAAAAAGAACCAGAGCTTCTTGGCAAAATGGTTCAATCAAACACTGGGCCAGGGAAAGTCCAGATGAGCCTGGAACACCTTGGTGAACCAGGAAGTAAGAGAGTTCTCAAAGAATGATGGGGACATAGGAGCTGGCATGAAGGGATGATAGATAAGGTTAGAAAATTGCCATTTGGCAACCATCATCGTAATATGTGATTCAGGCAAAAATCATCAATGAGCACTAGAGCTAAGGGGTAAAAATTCAGTGTTAAAAGGATATTTAGCCAGCCCTAAGTATCTGCTCAAAAGAAACTAACTGAAGGGAAAAGTAGTTCCTTTACTGGGGAAAAAACGGGGAGACACCACCTGAATCAAATGATCCAAGTTACTATCACTAGTAATGGGATAGTCAACGTCATATGCCTCCTACATAACATTGAAAACAACACACTTCACTTTCCGGGTATTCCTGCCAAATATGAATAACCCGACTCTAATTATGAGAAATACCAGATAAGCTCAAAACACTCAAATTGAAGGACATTCTGCTAAATAACAGCAAGGCAATGGAAGACAAGAAAACACTGAGGAACCATTCCCGATTAAAGGAGGTTACAGAGACTAAAGGTATGACTTATAATTTGAAAAACAATGACTTAGCCTATAAATAAGGAGAAGACTGAATAAGTGTATGATATGAGTTAAAGCATGATCATAGCATTTCCAAATATCCTACAGAAATAATTCCAATATTGTAATTGTCCAATGTGGCATTTTGTGGACGCTAAGAGGATTCAGAGCTTAGACAATGCAAGTGAAATAAAACTTTATGTGCAAACTTCAGATAGAAAAAATGGAAGTCTGACATTTACTAATATCTCAGTAGTTAACAGAATAGCATTTCAATGGTCTTTCTATAGTTCAATGACATGTTTTTTTCAGTGGGAGAGACATTACATATGGGATCATTCTGTTTAGATACAAATGGATCCTGTTGTCTCCTTGCAAACACAAATTCTATAAATGCAATATATTTTAGTTATAAAATTATTTGATAATCAGGGAATATATGCAAAATATGGAAATACTAAAAGCTACAACACAAAGTAGCATTTTCTAATTTTTTTTAGGCTGGCGTATTCTTTTTATTATAGTATATAATTAGAAAACCTTACATATTAAACATTTCATTATAGTGTTTTTATCACTATAAAGTGATTTTACAGTAAGATAAAGCACAATTTGCTGAGAAATTAAAAATTACACAGCATGTCCTAAAATGTACATTGAAATGTAACTGCCAGATATAAGAAGAAAATAGATTAAATGGAGCTTTTATGACCTGATAATTCTTCTATGTTGTGTTTTTAAAAACTCAACTAATTTATTTTCATAATTTCTGTGATTTATTTCAGCCTGCATGTCTCTGCGGAAACATAAGGAAAATTATTTGAAAGTCTACACTAAATAGAACTGTTACATTTTCTCTTTTTAACATTACATTCTGAAATATTAGAAATAACATGCTTTCAAGATTATTATTATTATTTTTTTTTTTTTGCGGTACGCGGGCCTCTCTCTGCTGTGGCCTCTCCCGCTGTGGAGCACAGGCTCCGGACACGCAGGCTCAGCGGCCACGGCCCGCGGGCCCAGCCGCTCCGCGGCACGCGGGACCCTCCCGGACTGGGGCACGAACCCGCGTCCCCTGCATTGGCAGGCAGACTCTCAACCACTGCGCCACCAGGGAAGCCCCAAGATTAAATTTTGATCAGGTGAATGCAATTTGTAAACCAGCTGAAGATCAGCTGGATATAAATTGCAGAATTATTTTTATGCTCCCTCTGAACTGTGTAATTCAGCATGTGCTCCTTATGTGTCCTCTCCTATAACTACATATATAATAAAGATGAGGTAAACAATACAACAATGAAAATAAAAACAAACCATATATGGCCAAAATGACCATGGTGGTGAATAAGTTTTGTCTCAGTTACAGCCTCTAAATCTCCTGACTATGGGACAGTCATTCCATTCATATGGTTTGAAACCTCTCAAATGGTTCAACAATTTTATAATTATTTGCAAAATAATAACAAATTAAAAAAATTAGGACCTCTCTGGCAGTCCGGTTGTTAAGACTCCACACTTCCAATGCAGGGGGCCTGGGTTCGATCCCTGGTTGGGGAACTAAGATTCCACGTCCCACGTGGCGTGCCCAAATAAAAAATTAATAACTGAAACAAGAAACTGATACAAACACCACTCTGGCTTTGATGACATAAGCTCCTGGAATCCTTACTGGGAAAAACTAACATAAAACAAAACCTTGAACAAACCCTCATCAGGGTTCCTGCAAACTGGGCAACATCCATATTTGGGAAAAGGTCAAGATTGGAAAGGGGTGCTGGGCCTGTGTGAACACACTGGACCAGGGAGACCAGGTTAGGTTATGGAAATAAGAGATATGAAATCTTCCAAATTCATACAACTGTCATAACCAGGGCATCGGCTCTCTAAGGCATGCTGAAGGCAACAGATTTTTTTTTGCGGCATTTAGTCGATACTGTAATTTACCCAAAGGGCCCAAAGAGCAGCATGTATTCCTTTTCTTGCCTTTTTTCAGTGTAGAGCTGTCCTCTCCTATCCTACCCAGCCTGGACTCTCTGCTCTAAAATTATACCTAATAAACTAAACTCAAACTCTATGAGGTGTGATGATCTGGTTCAGGTAAGTCACTAACATATCAATGTTCAAGAAATATAACCCAAGGACCTCCGATACAAGCATCAAAAACTAAACAAAACAGAAATCTCTAACCGGTAGATTTTAGAAGAGAAGCTTTGAGTAGGAAGATTTAAGGTGATACCAGTCAACTCTCAATATTCTCTAGCCCAAGAAAAATATATGGAAGTAAAAGATATGAAACAGCATTACGCCAAGAACCAGCCACAGCCCTATTCCAGCTCTTCTGTAAGAAACTCTAAATACTGTCTGTTTCATTTAGGATAATTCAATATTAATTTTAAATCACAGTTTTAAAGCGAATGCAAGATCTCTCTTATAAACAAGGCTAAAACATGTAATGCTTTATTGCTGTTAATTTCATTTGTCAAAGCTAAGAAAACAAAGGTTCTATCCGACTATGAGTGGATTTACTTCATTGTTTGACAAGATACATAGTTATTGACAACTGAATTTGGATAATAATGATCAATAAATTAGACAGTTATATTTCCACTGATTTCAATTTCTAAAACAGTGGTCTATTTAATTTATGTTGCTATCTTCCTTAAGAGTAGACAAATCAAAATGACATGTTTTGAGCTTGTGCTGGTAACTGTCAACATGAGAGCTTGAATTTAAAACAAAATATCCCTCTGGAGGAAATGAAGAATTCATAGTAACACAACTCATGTACACTAGAAAATTTCCTTAACACAATGTATCTCTTGCTAAAAACAGCAGATACTTTAAGTCAACAGTAATGAAACTAACAGAGGCAGTGTTTTTAAAAAAATGGTCCTCTACATTCATTGCTGAGTCACTTCTACTGCTACCATCTGTATTAAGCTACTTTACATTTCCATACTAAACCTTGAGTTCTCCACACCCAGCCTCCAGCACTTCACATTCACACTTTTCCAACAATTCTTTAATTCAGTGAAATAAAAACGCTGGTTGGGTTTCATGAATCTACGAAGCAGATTAGTAGAAAGATGATTAAAACCCGTTCCCTACTCTTAAAAATGCATTATCTAGTAACATGCAATAGAATATAAGGTAAGAGTGTCTACTTTCATTAAAGACTGAAGAATTTTATTGGATGAACTACATACAAATAAGGAAATTATAAATACTCAGCTTGGACAAGGAACCAATGGAATAGCACTTATCTTGAATTGGCTTTTCCCAGTTCCAGTCTGTTTTCATTGTTGGCCAGCTGACTAACTCCGAGTTCTGGGTCCCTGGGACAATCTTTTCATGATGGCTACACATCTAGCTCCAGGCCAAAATTGTACCCTATGAAACACTCAACTGAACCACAGACTACTTGCTGAATTTCTTTAATATGTTATTCTAAAGCCTCTTGACATACGGTCCAACAACTCTCATTGTTGCTTTTATGCCCTGACTTATCCAGTCCCACTTTTTTTCTATACCAAAAGGTAGGTCAGACATTCCCAAGGTTTTGTTCATCTGGACACACTGTGAGATCGTTACAGCAATGGGTATAAGCAGAAGTTTCATGGGCTGGATCCCAGTGCGTGCAAGGCTGAGACCCTCTCTTCTAGCTCATGTTTTTTTGGGGTTTCCTTTTGGCTGCATTGGGTATTTGTTGCTGCATGCGGGCTTTTGTCTAGTCGAGGCGAGTGGGGGCTACTAACTACAAATAAGTTCAGTTAAATAAAAACTCTTACGTACGTTAGGGTTGTTTCCATTCTCCAGACTTGCTCGAGGTCTTCATCAGGGTCCTTGAATCCAGTAAAGGAGTAGTAAGACTTGTCCCATTTGATGGGCCTGTCAGATATCCTTGTGGCCTCTTTGAGAGGCTGGGAGTGCACATTAGTATTCAAGCTTTGGATATGTTCAATAGATAAACTGCAGGAGTTGAGAATATATAACACTGTGCTTAGCAGATCTCTGGTGTGCAAAGTAAATTTGACTGCTCGAAACCCTAGAGAATATAATTCCCCCAAACAGTTAATACAGATGATTATTTGCTTTGCTTGAAAAACATTTCTTTTCATACAACATTTATAGAATCAAAATCTTTAAAACACTCCATTACTCATTAAAATTCATCCTATTGGAAAATCATCTGTAAATGGAAAACTACATCCCTTCTCCAAAACTGTACCACACTACCTCCATCTTCATGAAGTCCTCTGTCAGCTCCCGTTTCTAGTTTGGCGCCAGTGACCAAACCCACCCCGGCCCAAGAAGGGGATTGAGAATATTTTCAATGCTGGTCATAAATTTGGTCTCTACAGTCTAAGGGATGGAAAAGTTCTCCTATGAGCAAGTGTCCACCAGAGAGGGTGTCCAGCACTAAAGAGAAGGGGGAGGGTGGAGGTAGGGGGAGGGTGGGGCAGGCTGCCCTGCGACAGTGGTTCAAGGAGGGGGGCCAATCCAGTCTCAGGGGTCACAGAAACCCATCTCAAATTTTCTCTACGGTTGAAAGAGACTGTCCTCATACTCCCCCATCCAACTAGTTAGGGACACAATATTTTCAGAAGTGACTCAAATTTCCCTAATTTTTAAAAAGTTAGCACTTCACAATCTGCCTTTAATGCAAGTAGTCACTGGGCTCAGGGTAGTAATCTAACTTACATCAACAATAGGAAATCTACTGGTTCCCCTGCACCTTTATTGGGTATTAAACATGGCGCTAGTAGAATTTACATAACTTTTCAATGAACACTCTCACCAGTGCCATTATTATCTCTCTTTTCAAATGTGAAGCAGCGGAGGTTCAAGGAGGTGAAGAAGCGTGAAGTGAGGGCTGAAATCTGAGCTGCCACCAAGCCAAGTATTTTCCCCATTATAACATGCTGACTCTTTGTTTGGAAAAATTTTTTAAATTGGTTTTGAAAATTATACAAGTGTTATATAAGTACATCCTTCTTGTAAAATTATATATACAAAATAAAAGTCTCCTGTTGACAGGCACACAACCTCACACTTTCACTAGATGTAACCCTATTAACATTTAGGTACACAAGCATTTAGACCTGCACTGCCTAATATGGTAGCTACTAGCCATATGTGGCTATTTATTGGTAAAATTAAATTGATTGAAATTAAATAAAATTTAAAATTCAGTTCCTGGTCATACTAGCCCCACTTCAAGTGCTCAGAAGCCACATGGGGCTAGTGCCAGCTATACCAGACAGCGCTCACACGGAACAGTTACATCACCGCAGAAAGTTCTCTTGGACAGCACTGCTCTAGACCTTTTCTATGTGCTTTGTGTGTATGTTATATATGACATATACACTTTTGTGTCTGCATGAGCACATACCCACAGTGTGAATTGTTCCTTTTTAACATATAAACTGCACCATTCTGGACCTATGACTTTTTTTTTTTTTAATTTATTTGTTTGGCCGCTCTACGCAGCTTGCAGCTTAGTTCCCTAACCAGGGATCAAACCTGGGACCTCTGCAATGGAAGAACAGAGTCCTAACCACTGGAGTGCCAGGGAATTCCCTGGATCTATTACTTTGAACTTGCTTTTGTTATTTAACCTTGGTGACTCTTCCATTATCTGTATGTATACATCATTCTCTTTCTTTTTAGTAGCTCTATACTAATCCACATAATCAATGTAGTGCAATTTAGTTAACACTTCCAAAACTGATCACCATAAAAGTTGTTTTTAATTTTTCACCATTCCATACAAGACTGTGTTTTCTTTGCCATGATGACCGTCACCACAATCTAAATCATTGTCAGATATACCTGCTATGCCTGCCACATAGATTTATAGAATCTATAACATGCAAACTAAGAAAGAGTTTTTAGTTGAATCATTGATGGTAAAGTGAGAAATACTGGTAGGAAAATTATTCTAGTCAGTGAAAGAGGAAAGGAAAATCCAAATTCCTGCATTTGAAGTTAGGAAGAAATAGTTTATCCTCAGAAGAGGTAAGTCAAGGAATAAATCTCATTTTCTCTCTTATCAATTCCATTAATTATTTAATCCAATGTAAATGCTGCTATATAGTGTGGAATGTTTGTGCCAGACTGCACGTAACTTTTATTGGGAAATGTTACCTAATTAGTTTAGTTTGCATTTGATTACTGAGGCTAAACATTTTTATATGCTTATTGGCAATTTATGTGTATTATTTCCTGAACTGTCTAGTCATTGTGCTTGCCCATTTTTGTAACTAAGCTACTCTGTTTTCTTTTTGACTTCTAAGAACTCCATATATATATAATTTACTTTTTAAAATTAATTTATTTATTTTTGGGTGTGTTGGGTCTTCCTTGCTGCGCATGGGCTTTCTCTAGTGGTGAGCAGGGGCTATTCTTTGTTGCGGTGCGTGAGCTTCTCACTGCGGTGGCTTCTCTTGCGGAGCACGGGCTCTAGGCACCTGGGCTTCAGTAGTTGTGGCACACGGGCTTAGCTGCTCCTCAGCATGTGGGATCTTCCCAGACCAGAGATGGAACCCGTGTCCCCTGCACTGGCAGGCGGATTCTTAACCACTGAGCCACCAGGGAAGTCTATCTATCTATCTATCTATCTATCTATTTATTTACTGGCTGCACCATGCAGCTTGTGGGATCGTCATTCCCTGATCAGGGATTGAACCTGGGCCCTTGGCAGTGAGAGCGCGGAATTCCCTGGAACACCAGGGAATTCCCACTAATTTATTTTTTTATAATCTATTTTCATTTAATAAATGGTTCAAAGTTAACCATTAACTGAAAGTGGAGGATTTTTCTCTTTACTCAGCCAGAGCTGACGACAGCTATTTGTTTTAGCATTTGTTCACAGAAAGCTCTTAGTAAATCTTTAAACTGTTTTAAAGTTCATTCTAAAAATAGTTATTTCCTCAAGGATCACAAAAAGGATGGATAGACCCACATTCATCCTTAGTTTAAAGGATCACTGGATCATGGCTAAAGGAGTGACAAAGGACAAACAGAAGGCTGTACATGAAGACTGTTCAGATTTTAGAAACAGCATGAGGCTGGAGTTAAAGGGCTCAAGACCCCTATTCTGTCTCCATGGTCCTGGGACATTACTAAGTTACAATCGGGCAAATACTACCTTCCTCACAGGGTACTTTGAGGACTAAATTAGAGAATGTAAGCTATATTTTTTAAAGATATAAATTGTTATATAGACATTTAATACTTAAAACAGCACTGAAATAGGAAGGGGACAAATAGGAACACTTCAGTTTTCTAGTCAGAAAAGTTTAAACAAAAAATGGCTCATCAAACACATGCAGCCAGGAATAGAATCTAACTCCAGGAAAACACTCAATTAAATGATATTATTTCCTATGACAAGGCTTCAATCCGAAGGTCTTCTAGCAACGTTAGACAGACTGGACACATCACACCAAGCCTGCAAGGGACACACGAGAAATAAGAAACGTACTGGAAGTGCTGAAGTGTTCCTGGCCATCAGAGGAGTTCTGGTCTGTTTCTCTTACATAAAACACAAGCTGGGTTGGTTTCAAAGACTTGAAGCCTGGTTTCTGGAGGTTTTCTAAGTAGGCACTTAATCTCTTAAGAGAATTTTCATTGACTTCCTGGAAAAAAATATTAAGAGGCATTTATACACAAAATAGAACAAGGAAACATCAGAAATTATATCCCGACCTTTTAAACACATTATTGAGTATATTAAAAAATTTAGTATTTAAAAATGGTGGGATTTCATAGCTCCTCAGTACAGGATAAAATTGGATCCACACCTCACAACATGGAACTCCACAGGGATGAGATATGTAAAAAAAATGGGGCCACATAAGTACTAGAAGAAAACATGGCTGAGTTCCTTTATAACTTAGATGTGGGAAAAGCCTAACTATGACTGAATATCTCAAGTAATAAATGATTGATAAATCCAATTACCTAAGATAGTTTAAAAACTTAATATAGCACAGGGAACTATATTCAATATCCTGTGATAAACCATAATGGAAAAGAATATGAAAAACTATATACATATTTCTGTATAACTGAATCACTGTGCTGTACGGCAGAAATTAACACAATATTGTAAATTTTTAAAAAAATCTTTAAAAAAGAACACATAAAATACCACACATTTTTAAGGAAAACACACACACACACACAAGAGTCTACAGACAAAAATTGACTGGGAATAAATATTTGCAAGTTATTTCATAGTAAAGAGCTAATTTCTTTCTATATAAAAGGCTCTTAAAATGCCTATCCAGAGATTGGTTGAATTATGGTATCTTCATTCAATGGAGTGCTACACAACCAAAAGGAAAAAAAGGGGGAAAGAATGTGACACAGGCAACATATATGAAAGGACATGGAGTGATCTCTAGGATATAATGTTAAGTGAAAAAAGAAATGTCTTTTAGTGAAGGAACAGCTCCAAGAAATGGCATAAATAATAACTTTTCTTCTTATCCCTATAGGTCTCTTCTCAGAAACACAGTGTGATCTGAAATTAGGAACAGTCCGTTCATTTTTGTTTATTATAATATACCACTCTCAGCTATGACAGTCCCATGAGCAGCTGAGAGAATTTCCTGTTATTGAAGGACTAAATCTTCAAAATTATTTTTTGATACATATTTCCATTTTTGCCAAAAAAATCCCAGGCAGAACAACCCAGAAATGAATAAAAATGACTGCCAACAGGAAGTTAATGGGATTGGGGTAAATGAAATTGGGATGGGAGTGAAACTCCTGAGTAAACTTTGTGTTCAGCTTTTATTTTTTATTTATTTATTTGCAGTACACGGGCCTCTCACTGCTGTGGCCTCCCCCGCCGCGGAGCACAGGCTCCGGACGCGCACGCCCAGCGGCCACGTCCCACAGGCCCAGCCGCTCCGCGGCACGCAGGATCCTCCCGGACCTGGGCACGAACCCGCGTCCCCTGCATCAGCAGGCGGACTCCCAACCACTGCGCCACCAGGGAAGCCCTAGCTTTGATTTTTGAAACCTATATATGTTTTGCCTATTTTAAAACTGAATTAAAATTAAGAGGATAAAACAGCAACAACTGTGCTTCACTCTGAGATCCTGGCCTGATGCCATGACTACATGCGACTCTATGCCTCTTTCCCTTAGAAAGGGGTGAACGTACCCTACAAGAGTCAGGGGAAAACTGACATAGAAGACAAACTTATGGTTACCAAAGGGGAAGTGGGGGAGGGATAAATTAAGAGTTTGAGATTAACATATACACACTATCATATATAAAATAGATAAACAACAAGGTCCTACTGTATAGCACAGGGAACTATATTCAATAACTTATAATAAACTATAATGGAAAAGAATATGAAAAAGAATATATATATACACATATATATATGTGTGTGTGTGTGTGTGTGTATATATATATCTGAATCACTCTGTTGTACACCTGAAACTAACACAACGTTGTAAATCAACTATACTTCAATAAAAAAATTTTTAATTAAAAAAAGAGCATTACCAAATCTTTAGGTAAAATGAAAGTGAAAATGATGTAAATTGTACCCATATTAAAGACAAGTTATTGAAAAATATAAAATTCTTCCTATGAAGTTTAAAAAAAAAGCATGTGGCTGCATGCAGGGCTCATGGGATAATCCAGGGTAAGCACCTCCTCTCGAAATCTGTAACTAAGTCACATACCTTAATATACAAGGTAAAATTCACAGGTTCCAGGAATTAGGACATGACACATCCTTTGGAGCCAGCATGCAATCCATTACACTTGTGACGGGATCACCATTATAAACTCCCCTTTGTTTCATTCTGCCTTTGAATGACTTTGCAGAGAGAAGCCACCATCTGTGGGTGTCACGCCAAGTCCACCTGGCATTATTTCACATCCACTCACACCCGCAAAGTTAGGGTCTCCCATGATTCCAGCCTCTACTGAGCCTGCCCTATTCATTGGGCACTTGGGTTGGATCCAGCCTCTCACTTTTCTAATTGGCTAGTTGTGAGTTTTTTTGTGCACAGCATTCTCTTTTCTTCTTGGGCCAATGGGTTCCAGGATAGAGCTGCATCATGGGTCTTCTATGCCAGTTCCCCCTTTATTGCTGCTCAACTTCCAACCCACCCTTCACACATGCTCTGCAGTAATGAACAGGATTCCTTTAAGCTTCTGTCCTTCAGAGTGAGCACAATGGTAAGCTTTTCCAGTAGAGGGCGCTAGGGGGACATTGCAGAGAGAGGGGCTCTCCTGCTGGTTTTGGAGGCTGCAAGATTGATTGGTCACAAGTGTAGGTGTGATGGCATCTGGTGCAGACCTGCCCAGCCATGGGCGCAGAACTCGTGGCCCTCACAATGTAATAGAGAAGACAAATCTGACTCCATATCGGATCTGTTTCTTTTACTTTAACCTTTGTAACCTACTGCTTTTGCTACAAGTTAATTACTAAAGGGATGTTGCCTATAAGCTTAAATTATACATAATGGCCAACCTCTGGGATGCCTGCCTCCCAGGTAATGAGCATTAAGCTAAAATATCTTTGTTAACTCACAGCAAACATCCTGACCAGGCCCACATGTGAATGGCTACAGGAATGAAGAAATCAGAGTCTGAACAGAACCAGGATTTTACTCCCTTCCCTTTTAGTATAAAAGAAGCCTGAATTCTAGAGAAGATGGTTCTTTGGGACACTAGTCCACCCTCTTCTCGGTCTGCTGGCTTTCCAAATAAAGTCACTATTCCTTGACCCAACAAATTGTCTCTCAATTTACTGGCCTGTCATGAGACAAGCAGTATGAGCTGGGACTCAGTAACATCAACACACTGCAAGCACTGGGCCTCCTGCCCACACTGACACTCCAACCTCCTCTGCTTGTCCACAGGCCTAGCCATCAGCTGACCTGCCTGCACCTGGTTTGTGCCCCAGAGAGTTGCTTCCTGCTTACCCAGTGGTTGGGGAGCCACGGCAGGAGCAACCCAGCCAACTTCTCTGCCACCAATGAGGCCTGAACACAGGACCTCAAGAGAGGACCCCTTCCAAGCTTTTTTCTTCCTGGGGGTCTCTCCCTCAGCCCTAGGGCCCATATTGAGTTTTATTACATCTTATAGTCATTCTTTTATCTAAGTTGTTGGGCTGCACCCCTCAAGCCAGCAAGCCCTGTACTTGCCCATGTCACAGAGCCTCAAGCCAGAAGAAGCAGCCCAGAGTCAGCAAGAGCAACCTCAATGGTTTAATGGATAGGAGGATCTTACACGTCTGAAGCAAGGTCCTGGAGCGAGACGCCCATGGTGTGCAGCAAATAGCGGACAGGACATGGCGGCAGTCTTCACTCCAGGGGGAGAGGAGTGGGGGGAGGTTACCAGTTAAAGGAGGAACTGACGTCAGACTGACTCACTGGTTGCCAGAGAAACCAGCAGAGGAGCACGCCCCTCACTGCCCCTTTGATAAACCAGCATAGTGGAGAGAGTTCTGATCTAAAGATTAGAACAATCACCAGCTGGGGCCAGGAGCAAGTACACAGGCATTTACTGATCAGGCTCTACAACTGAGAGGGAAGGTCAGTCACGTGAATAAGGCATAGGTAAAGCAGGGGCTGGTCGAGCAGGGGATGTACAGAGAGCAGAAGAACAGCCATCTTGGGTGACCTGATCAGACAAAATTTACCAATTTTTATATTGTTTCCCCGTTTAAACCGTCTTGTGATTGGACCCAGACCTGATTCAGCAGTACCTCCAGCCTTGGGGATGAGTCCAGGCTTCGTTCCTCCTGGGTGCTCCCCACCTAGAGGATCCTGCACAGATGCTCCAGCCTTCTGAGTCCAGCTAGCATACTGGTCATTCATTAAAAAAAATAAAAAATTATTGACTATATCCTTGGTGCTGAGATACAGCAGGTTGGCTCGGCCTCAGCAGCCCACCTCTTCCTCAAAGGACATAAAGCTCACAGGCTCGGGCTTCCCTGGTGGCGCAGTGGTTGAGAGTCCTCCTGCTGATGCAGGGGACACGGGTTCGTGCCCCGGTCCGGGAAGATCCCACATGCCGTGGAGCGGCTGGGCCCGTGAGCCATGGCCGCTGAGCCTGCGCGTCCGGAGCCTGTGCTCCCCAACGGGGAGAGGCCACAACAGTGAGGGGCCGGCTTACAAAAAAAAAAAAAAAAACTTACAGCCTCTGTGACATTTCTCAGGTGGGGGAAGCCTGAATGTGTTCTGGAAGGAAGAGCTGCTGTGGTCCTGTTGTCTACACAGTTAGGCCCTGCAATGTGAACCTGCCTGGGTATAAACCGGCAGGAGAGGAACACAGGGCTTCTGAATCAAGTAAGGCGCTGTGAAGCCAAGGCAGGCCAAGAGCGGGCTCATGGGGGATTTTAGGACCTGGGAGTGCCCTGGAGAACCCTGCTCTGGTTGCTTCCCACCGGTTGTGGGCTCCAGGCTGGGCATTTACCACTGGCCTCCTGTTTACATTTCTTGAGGAAGGAGGCAGGTGGGCTCTAGGCTAGATATTTACAACCAGCCTCCTGTTTGCACTAGGAGATAGAAATAACAGCAACAGGGTAAGTAGCTGGACTTTCTCTCCTGAGGACACTTTAAGATAACAGTCATGGAGGGGACAGAGAGGGGCTAAACCCTATTTGAGTAAAAAATAAAGAGGTCACACGTTTCCCATCCTTGGGGCAAGGGAGACACTGCACATGAGCAGAAAGCCTCCTTGGGGGTCAAAAAGGAGGGGGCACCACGCCATAATAGGTGATGCCAAGGCCCCCCATAGGCCTCTGGGCTGGAATCCATGTCGGGGAGGGTCCTAGGGCAGGTCAGGAGTGGAAAAAGAAACCAAATAATGGGCCAAAGATAAACAAAGAGTGGAAGAACTGCCCTATATAAATGACTTAACCACCTCTTTCCCGTGCTCCCCCTCATTAGCGGAGACACCCACACCCTTTCTCTCCGGGTGTGTATTTCTGCCTTGCTTCTGTCTTAGATAAACAAACTGTGTGCTTTCCCACTTGTGCTGTGTCTCTAATAATAAACCTTGTACCTGTTTTTACAGTTTTTGCCTTCTTGAGAAATGCATTTTTCAATGGAGGCAAGGGCCAGGGGAATTTAGCTTCCAGCCTCTAGCCCCTGGTGGACTAACGGCTGGGATTCCTGGTTTTCATCCATGCTACCCAGGTCCAGTTCCTGGGAAGAGAACTAAGATCTTGCTTCAAGCCACCACTCACTGCTATCTCTCCAAGATCAGGTGCATCCCAGCCAGAACCAGCGCGTGACCCACAAGGGTGATGTCCAGCTCCACATGGCTCAGGGTGCAGCCCATTTGGCCAGCCCCTCGTCCCCCACTCTGGGACCCACGCAGCACCCATGGCCCATCCCGGGCTGGGTCTCACTTCCCGCCTTGTCTCACCGAGCCAAGTCCGAGATGAGACCAGGAAGGTGCGATAGCCCCTCCACCGTGTGGCCTGGAACAGGAGATGGCACAGGTGGGAGCTGTCCCCACCCAGCAGTCTCCCCAGAGCATGCAGTGGCGGGTAGCACGGAGGATGCCCCCATCCACGGGGGTCAGGGCAGGACCCACCCACTCAGCTCTCAGCCAGCAGGAGAGGCACGGGGATTGGAGGGCAAGCCTGAAAGGAGCCTCCAGGAGGTAGAGGGAGGGAGTGGGCCAGTGGCCTCAGCACAGAAAGCTGTTGGAGCGAGACCCCAGCTGAAGTCTTTGCTAAAGCCTCCCGAGCGGGGGCAGGGCAAGGCCCACCCCATCCTCTAGGTGAGGTTCAACATGCCCTGAAGTGGAGAGGCCGGTCCTCAAACCCAGACCCACTGGCTCCAGAGCACGAGCCCTCTGGCGGTCCAGTGGTTAGGGTTCCGCGGTCTCACTGCCGAAGGCCCAGTTTCGATCCCTGGTCAGGGAACTAAAACCCCATAAGCCGAGTGGTGTGGCCAAAACAAACAGAGCACAAACCCTCTATGCTCTGCCCAGCCACAGCCCTGGGCAGGAAGGTTCAGCACGTGTCACCGCATGATAGCGGGCAAAGCTGGCTCTGAAACACGCCTGACGACAAGTTCAGGGAAACCGCACAGAGGACCCTGTGCACTTGACCAGCAACACACACACCAAAAGTGCGATGGGGGACTGGGCCAAGCCGGGGTCGTTTGTGCTGCACGTGACCCTGGAACCCAGGGCCAAGGGATCATTGCACAGAGAGCCAGCTGAAGCCATCCAGCATCTCCCAGCCCAGGACCCTCCCCACTGCCCATCTGCAGGGCCAGCCGTTCAGGCCTACCCTCTGTCCCTGGCCACCGCCTGGGACGGCCGGATCCCTCTGCTCTGACCAAAACTGCTTCCTTGGGGAGAGGTGAACTCTACAAGGGGGCAGCAGAGAACTTGGCTGTCCATGGGGCCATTTTCCCCCTGATAGCCTGAGGTTTGCATGTTCCTCACGCACTGGCCTATCATCCTGGACAGTTAACCAGGTACCTTTGGATTGGCTTAAGTCAAAGCAAGGTAGGCAGTGGCTAGACAGGAGGAAGAACTTCCTGACCATCAGAGAACTCACCAGAATCAGGACGTGGTGATTCTATCACTTGGGAAGCAACACAGCCCACCAGAGTAACTCAGAGGCTCAGCGACGACCCGCTGGGGGCACAAAGACAGCCCTGTTTTCCAGCACCTGGGGTGGGGCGGGGGGCGGGCTCATGGGCCGCTTGCCCATGTTCATGCGGCCAGTGTTGGAGCAACCTAGGTTCACAGCCCCCTCCCCATTCAGGACCCCCGTCCATGCAGGTCACAAGCGGGGATGTGCAGGCCCCAGGAGCTCCTGGCTCCAGGTCAGCCCATCAGCAAAGGCATCCTGCAGCCCACAGTGACCTGGAACAGGTAAGATCAGGATGCCAAGGGGGCCCAGCCCCAGGGGAACAGGTACTTTACGTGATCATGAGCACTCTGAGGAAGGGAGTCCTGCAGTCTTGGGGGTCTTGAAATCCTTTGTGGAGTGTTTTCCAAGGCCTTCTCTGGGCAGGCACTAGGCTTGGCATAACATTGGAAGGTTCACCCAGTGAAGGGGCCGTAGGTGCTCGGGGTCTCCCAGGGTGGGCTGATGGCTGCATGAAAACATTAGCACACAAGGGGAATAAGGGGTCCTGCTCAATCAGTGCAATATGGTGATTTATAATAAGAGATATATTGTTGGTCTTCATCTCCGTCCCCACTCCCTGCATCGAGCTTCTAAAACCCTTGGAATTTTTTGAGTGCTGAGAGTGTAAAGGTGTCTTTTGTTACGTTAATGAGGTGATTGTTGCAAACACCTGCGGATGGGGGTTGGTTGCCCAGGAAACCAACCATGTGATTAGAGGGTAGGACCTTTCAGTCCCACCGCCTGACCTCCAAGGAGGAGAAAGTGGCCACAGGTTGAATCAATTGCCATTGGCCAATGATTTAACCATTGTGAGGTAATGAAACCTCCATAAAACCCTCCAATAGACAGGGTTAGTGAACATGTGGAGGTACTGGGAGAGTGGGGCTCTCAGAGAGGGTTGGAAGCTCTGTGCCCCTTCCCACGTTCCCTGCCCTAGGCATCTCTTCCATCTGGCTGTTTCTGAGTGTTATCCCTTTATAGTAAATTGGTGATCTAGGAAGTAAAATGTTTCTCTGAGTTCTGTGAGCTGTTCTACCAAATTAATCAAACCTGAGGAAGCAGTTGTGGGAACCTCTGATCTATAGTGGGTCAGATGCACAGGTGACAACCTGGCCCTGCAACTGGTGTCTGAAGTGGGGGACAGGGTGGGTAGTCTTGTAGGACTGAACCCTTGGCCTGTGAAATCGGATGCTATCTCCAGGTTGTGAAAGGAAAATAAAAATGGAGTCAGTATTGCTAAGAGAGCTCTCTAAAATAGAGCCAGGAGGCCACTGAGGAAGTAGGACATGCACACCTGATTCAGCAGTACCTCCAGCCTTGGAGGTTTCGCTAACTGCAGGAACTTTGTTGTTATCCACTTGCTTGGAGAGGGTTGGAGGTGAGGGTTATACCCACTGCTGGCTGGCTTTCCAGATTAGAGACCCCGTGGACAATCAGGCCAAACTTGACAGGAAACTCCTGCCAAGATTTTTTCACATATACACTGTCAGCGGAAGTGGCCCTGAGAGGTCATGAAGTAGAGGACCAAGCCATGCTGTCCCAGAAGGGCTTGGACAGTTTTGTCCATGGGATTTATAACAGTCACTGTTACCCTGGGGACTCTGCTGGTGTAGACTGAGCCCTGGTCCCTGCCGCAGGCTGAGCTTGAACCTCTCTGGGCCTCTCTGAGACACTTGTTGGGACTCTTGGGGGCTGGATGGGAGTGAGGCTAAGAGCCCCTGCAAGGTCAGGGCTGGGGGCCTGGCCCCAACAGCTCTGCCTGAGAGGCCAGCACCCCCAGCCGTGACAACGAGGTCTTTGTCAAGGCCAACCAGCAGGGAGCCCGGAGAGTGTACTCTGGTCCTCCCACCACCCACCCTGTGGAGCTAATGGCCCCTGCCACTCTCAGAAGCAGTCATGCCCTTGGCATCAGCTGACCCCAGCCCAGGCCTGACCTCCAGGTCCCCTGTGTCCCCGGGGCCTCACCCAGTCCTGGTTCCTAGGAACACAGTCACAGGCTGTGCAGTTGAGCAGAAGTGCAGACAGGCTTCTCACCCCCACGTCATGCAGGGAGGGAAACTGAGGCCAAGAGAGGAGGGGTCCTGGCTGCGTCAGAGGGTCATTAGCCAGAGACTCAATGCTGGACCCCAGGCCTTTAATCTCCAGCCCAGAGAACTGACGTTTCTGGGGGTCCTCAGGCTGGGACAGTGTGTTTCAGAGCCTCCACTTACCACCTCCTGCCCAGCATGGCTGCATCAGTAGGCAGCAGTCACTCCACTCCTGGAGGGCCGAGCGGCTGCTCATTGGCCCCCCAAAGCATCACCCAGAGCCTATTCCACCAGGGAAGGCACAGAGCTGGGCTGTGGCTGGGGCTCTCTGCCCAAAGGCCCCCTGGCCTCAGGCTGTCCCTCCAGCCCCAGCTCTAGCTCCTTTCTGATCAGGGCCCAGGCTGGCCCTCAATGCTGCCCCCAAGCCCAGATGGCCCCAGGTTGTGCCCAGGGACACCAGGCCTTCGAGTCCCACTCATCCTGGCTTGTTCCTATCTCAACCAAGTGGGGGATCCTTCTGGCTCTGGCTGGGAACTATTACTCTGCTGCCAACATTAGAATTGGATTCTTGAACCCCAAAGAGCTAAAAACACCAAGATGTCTCAAGAGGTAAAGGAAGTTCTAGAAAACATTATGTGTCAAAATCTAAATTAAATTTATATGGTGTTTGAAAACATTGGGCACATTCCTATAAGAATTCCACAGAGGGTCCTGAGTGCTTCCAGGGGAGGCGGAATGGTCCTTGCAGGGTATGAAGGCGTACAGGTGGCAGGGGACAATGGCTCAGAAAGATGCTCAGAGGCCGTGCCTCGGCACATTCTCTCAGGCTCAAAAGGAAAATCGGTTATTCCCAGTAAGGACATTTTTTCAGCTTGCAGGTGAAGGTGCAGGTGGGGCGCAGAACGGCTGGGAGGAAAGGTAGAGGCTTGTGGCAGAGGCGCTAGCCCAAGGGGGCCGAATGGCAGCGGAGCGCCTCCTGGCGGTGAGATGGTGACAGGAATTGCTGAGAACAGCGTGGGGCTCCGGGCTCCAGCTTTGGCCGGGAGATGGGTCGGTGTAGGTGGGACGGAGTTTCGGGAGCCAGTCTCTTCCAGTGAAGCCCTAGGACGGGGTGGAGGCGCGGCCTTCTGCGCGTGTGCTGGCTGAGCCCTGGGCGCCGGGAGGACCCCCCTGCACGCTCCCGCGCTGAGATCTGGGTCTCTCTCCTGGCTTCTCTACCGGAGCTGGAGAATCTGCGGGTGTGTCTGCCCTCAGCGGGGGGTAGGTGATTTCTCTAGTTATCTCGTTTACCCAGAAAAATCTAGAGGCTTCTTCCCCTGTCCGAACTGACTCTTTGACATCGCTGCAAAGGAGAAAATGGAGACAACACAGGAGGGTCTTCAGCCGTCCATACAGAGGGAGGGCTCCACCTACACAACCAGCATCAAAGGGAGCCGCCAGCCCCCGGCTTCTGTAAACAAACTGTGCTAGGCTTCTGTCGTCCCAGATGCTCCAGAAATCTTCCCAGGACCAAAAGCAGGCCTACCTGGAGGCTCCGATGAATTCAAGGGTCTTCTTTCTTCTTCTTCTTCTTCTCCTTCTCCTTCTTCTCCTTCTTCTCCTCCTCCTCCTCCTCCTCCCCCTCCCCCTCCCCCTCCTTCTCCTTCTTCTCCTCCTTCTTCTTCTTCTTTTCTTTCTTTCTTTTTTTTAATGGCAGTGCCACGTGGGCTTGTGGGATCTTAATTCCCCAACCAGGGATTGAACCCAGGCCACCGCAGTGAAAGCAGGGAGTCCTAACTACTGAACCGCAGGGGAAGTCCCTAGGGTCTTTTCTTAATTATCTTTCCAAATTTAAAAATTTTAACCAAGCATACTAAAAAGTATTCTTTACATCTTGATCTAGTTCAGATATATTTGTGTGTGTGTGTGTTTGTGTGAATGAATGTGCACGTGTGTATGGATGAATGATAACAATTTCATGGAATGTGAGTGGTTGTGTGCAGCGGTCTCTGATATTTTTCTATGCAATTGAGTTTTCCTATATTCCTTTAAAAAATGCTCTTTGCCATTCCTTAAACTCATTTTATAAGGGAAGCAGCAATGATTAATAAACTGTAGCTTCAAAAACACTGTCTGAGATTAAGAGGAGAATGGAGAATGTTGGAGGTTCTACAAATGAAGAGAAAAAAATCACTCTTATAAATTTTACAAAAACATGACCATGTGTAGTCTGTGGAATTGTTCCCCAAAGATGTCCTTGCCCTAATCCTCAGAACCTGTAAATATGTTTTATTACATGGCCAAAGGGATTTTGCAGATGTAGTTAAAATTATGGACCTAAAACTAGGGGGATATTATCCTGTATCACCTTAGATAGATTGGGTGCCCCAATCTAATCACTTGGGCTCTGAAAAGTAGAGAGATTTCTCTGGCTGGGATCAGAGAAATGGAGCAGAAGGAGAAGTGGAAGACAGATTAAGTATGAGAAGGACTTTCCCACCATTGCTGGCTTGATGATGGCAGGGACCAAGTGAAGACCATGAGAAGGAAATCAATTCTATCAACAAAATGAATGAGCCTAGAAGTGGATTTTCCTCAGAGCGTCCAGGTAAGAGCCCAGGGTGGACAAAACCTTGATGGTGGTCTTGTGAGACCCTAAGTGGCGTACCAAGCCACACTTGCCAGACTCAGGCTCTGTGAGATGGTAAATGGCTCTTGTTCCAAGCAGCTAAATTTGTGGTCATTTATTACTGCAGCAACAAACTCATACACCATGAGAACACTTTTCCAGGAACAGTGCAAGAGAGAGGCTGCAAAGCTGACTCTTCCTGAGCTCAGGGTAAGCATGCCTTTGGTGTGGGCCTATTAGCCAGTCCGGAGACTCTTCCTACTTTCCTTCTGTCAAGCTTGATAATTGCTTCACCTGTTTGAAAGTGGACAGTGACTGTCACCCCTGACAAACATCAAGTTACACTACCTAGAACATCAACCAAGTCAACGTGCTTTCAAGGTCCTGACACCTGCATCCTACATGAAGCTCCAATTTGCCCTCAGGCAGAGAGGGTTTCCCCCACCTTCCCCTGATGGTCCACAAGGCCATGGGGAAGCCAGCACATCCTGCAGGGATTCCCAGAGTCAGGGTGGCTGGTAGCAAGGGCTCGGTGGGTTGAACAGGTAGGGGCTGGCCAGGAGCTAGGGGTCTATAAAGGTATGAAGGGTTTGAAGCTCACCTGTCAGGAGGTGCTGGGGGAAGAAGTCTGTGGAGGGAACTTCAGAGAGGAGAAGGTGCAGTAGAAGACCAGGGGCTCCTAGCAACCCAATCTTTATCGTGTAAAGCCTTTCCCACCCTATCCCAGCCTTGATTCCACCTGGTGACCTCAGATCTCTCCGGCACAGCCACAAACACA